CCAAACCACACCCACTGCCTGGAGTCCATTCTGACCCACAGCGCCCCTAGAGGACAGAGTGGAACTGCCCACAGGGTCTCCAAGGCTGTCAAGTCTTGATGGAAGCAGATGCCTCATCTTTCTCCCATGGAGTGTGGGATCACTTTGAACCATTGACCTTTTGATTAGCAGCCCAGTGCATTAACCATGGAGACACCAGAGCCCCTTCATGCTCCAGAACTGGGCTCTGATTTTATTCACTTTTGCCTTCAGCTTATCCTCACCCCGAAGTGTTGTGTTCATCAGTGTACACACCCTCCTGAACCCTGCTTGGCCCTCTAGCCACCCTTCTAGTTCTTGGCTTGCTTTCATACCAGAGTTGAGAAGGCTTGTCTGTGCTCTCTGTCACCACTGCCCTCCTCCCTATCCCTCCAAGAAGTGTCTTCAGTTCAGCTTTGGATACCTGCCACTTCCCTGAGACAGCCCAGGTGGGGTGCCAGAGCATGTGGCTACAGCCCTGCCAGCAGCCTTGACTTCGCTGCTTACTGCTTCCCATGTCATGCCAACATGTCCCAGACATGTATCTCCCATCTAGGTCTTTCACCCCACACCACCACTTCCACGTGTCTGAAGCCAGCTGCTCACACGCTGTCTTTCCCAGTTAGGAACAGGCAGCTCCCCCTTGTCCAGGCACTCAGATCCAAACCCTGGTGGTGATCCTTAAGTATATTTCTCCCATGTCCTAAACCTCGTGGCTGCTCCTCACTGTGTAGCCATGGCCATCCCTTCTCATCCTTACCTGCAGTGTTCTTAACACTTCCTCCCTGCCCTGTGGGCTCAAGCTGGCTGAGTGCCTCTCGTCTGCCCTCCACGCAGAGGCCAGAGTGAACTGCTTCAAACAGACCTCTGTCAGAAGCCTTCATGGCTTCTTACCTCCCTCAGAAAATCAAGCCCGAGTCCGTGCATGCTTTACAAAGCCCCTGTGAGCACCTCTCTGGCCTCATTGCCCAGGAGCCTGCTCTCTGTCCACTCAGCGCTGATCACATTCCTGACACGCCTTCTCTCTGCTGGAAACAGCTTGTGAGAGACCCCCGACTTCTTCATCTGATAGGGCTACTCAACCTACCCCGCTCTAGGAGCTCCTGCCCCCTGCCTAATTGTCTCTTTGCACCCGTCACCTGGCATCCATTGGTTTGCTTACTGGCTGACTAGTCCCTCCCACTCCACTGTCAGCTTCCTGAGAAGCTGTGATTTGTTCATTGTCATATCTCCAGTGGCTCAAACACTCGGAGACATTGTGCTTCCGTTCCAGGCCCCTGAAATAAAGCAAGTATGGCAGTGAAGTGAGTCACCCGTGTTTCTGGTTTCCCAGTGCGCATAAAAGTTATGTTTCCACTCAGCTGTAGTCTGTGAAATGAACTCTGGTAGCACAGTGCCTACGACATCTGACTGGTAACCAGAAGGTCAGCAGTTCAAGTCCGCTAGCTACTCTGTGGAAGGAAGATGGGCAGTCTACTTCTGTAAAGATTTACCACCTCAGAAACCCAGTGGGGGTCGCTATGAGCTGGAATTGCCTCCATGGCAATGTGTTTATCTGGTTGCGTAGTCTGTGAGGTGTGCAATAGCATGCTGGGAAAGTTTGAAACATCGTGAGGATTGCCAGAACGTGACAGACACAGAGCGAGCACACACTATTGGAAAGATGGCACCCATAGACCTGCTGGATGCAGGGCTGCCACAAGCCTTCCGTCTGTCAAAGAAGCAATAAAGCCTGGCGTATGTGGTACCTGGTGTAGGCGGTGTTTGACGTTTAATAACTGAGTTAACGAAACAACTGCTTTTCTAAAGCAGAGAGACCTGGGGACCTAGTGACGGCCCAGAACTCCCTTCCTGGGGTGTTTCCGGGCTCCTGTCTGGGACCAGGCTCCTGAGGGCAGAGACTGTCTCACCCAGCCTTCCCCTGGGTCACAGTGTGTCACACTGCACTGGGGCTCCGTGTTTCTGAGTGGAATCGACAAGGTTGTGCTTTGCAGTGATGTAGCTTGGGGTTTCTGAGCACTTGCTGGTCAGTTGGCAACAAGCTACTTTGATTCCTGGGACGCGGTGTTGTGGCTGCACCCCTGCCTGTGCGTTCTTTCTGCTTGATCCCTGATGCTCTTGGGTTGCTTACCGGTGCCTGGGACAGAGCTGACCTTTCTGTGAAGGGAAACAGAGGAATGTAGTATGGGCAGTGGTGAGGTGGGCGCTGTCGGGTGGTGCCTGTGAGGGACATCTGACTTGGCTCTGGACGCTGGCAGAGGTCTGCAGGAATTTCATGTGCACTGCGGAGCGTGAGCTTGGACCTCTGCGCACTGTGCACCGTGCCCTGGGGGGTGTGAGCCCGGGGCTGCCTTTGGATGTTCCTGTATCTCAGCCCCCTTCCCTCTTGCATGGGCATGACGGTGCACCTGCCCCAGAGTGGTGTGGTGTGGGCTTCTGAGGCCCTCCCCAGGATGACTTCACTACGAGGCTGGCACTCATGGCAGCAGATTACTGTGACTTAGGTACTTTCTGTTGCAGTCACTCCCTGGGTCCCCCACCTGCCAGGCGTGTCCTGGCCCTGGCAGGTGTAGATGAGGCAGACGGCCTCCTCTCCTGGGTTGCAGAGGTGGTCTCAGCATGCCTTCTCCGTGGCCTGTCTGCTGTGATTAGTAAGGGGCCCAGCAGTGGTAGCTTGTGCTCAGAGTCTTGTCAGTGCCACCACACGGCAGTGATAGGGAATGGTCCAGGAGTTATATCTGCTTCCAGTGACTGGATTTCTGCTCTGCTTTTCTAGGACAGCGTTAACTTGGACAGAGAAGGGGGGCGGCGATGCACCATGGCGGCGGCCCCCCGAGTGCCCAGCACCAGCTGCAGCGGTCCCGCTCCTTCACTGGCGCCAGTGAGGGCGAGGAGCCGCAGCCCCACTCCGGTCTGCCCCAGTCCCCGGCCACCGCCTTCGCCCCGTCCGCCAGCCCGTCCGCACCCCCGTCGCCCGGGTACCAGATCCAGCAGCTGATGAGCAGAAGCCCGGTGGCTGGGCAGAGCGTGAACATCACTCTGCAGAACGTGGGGCCGGTCGTGGGGGGCAGTCAGCCCATGGCGCTGGCGCCCCTGCCGCTGCCCAGTCCAGCTTCGCCCGGCTTCCAGTTCGGTGCCCAGTCAAGGCGCTTTGAGCACGGGTCCCCGTCCTACATCCAGGTCACCTCCCCACTGCCCCAGCAGGGCCAGACCCAGAGCCCCACGCAGCCCAGCCCCGGGCCGGGCCAGACCCTGCCGAGCGGGCGGGCTGGCGCCTCGGGCCCTGGGCTGGGCCTGTGCAGCAGCAGCCCCACGGGGGGCTTCGTGGACGCCAGCGTGCTGGTGCGGCAGATCAGCCTGAGTCCTTCCGGTGGGGGGCACTTTGTGTTTCAGGAGGGGCCCAGCCTCAGCCAGCTGGCTCAGGGCGCCCCTGTGCAGCTGCAGCACGCGGGCGCGCCCCTGGCTGTGCGGGAGCGGAGACTGTCGCAGCCTCACGCGCAGTCCGGAGGCACCATCCACCACCTGGGGCCCCAGAGCCCGGCGGCGGGCGGCACGAGCATGCAGCCTCTGGCCAGCCCCGGGCACCTGGCCCCGGGCAGCCTGCCGCCCCAGATCAGCAGCCTGATCCAAGGGCAGCTGATGCAGCAGCAGCAGGTGCTCCCGGGCCAGCCGCTGAGCCGGCCCCTGGCCTTTGAGAGGACGGCGCCAGGCGTGCTCCTGCCAGGTGTGGGCAGCTCCTCGGCCTTCGGCATGACCTCCCCGCCCCCACCCACCAGCCCCTCCAGGACCCCGGTGCCACCGGCGCTGTCCAGCCTTCCGCTCACATCCACAGTTGGCCCGGGCATGAGGAGAGCACCCCGGAAGCTGGAGGAGATCCCCCCGGCATCTCCTGAAATGGCACAGATGCGGAAGCAGTGCCTGGACCACCACTACAGAGAGATGGAGGCACTCAAGGAGACCTTCAGGGAGTATTTGATTGAACTGTTTTTCCTGCAACATCTTCAGGGGAATATGATGGACTTCTTAGCCTTTAAGAAGAAGCATTATGCCCCGCTGCAAGCATACCTCAGACAGAATGATCTGGACATGGAGGAGGAGGAGGAGGAGGAGGAGGAGGAGGAGGAGAGATCGGAGGTCATCAATGATGAGGTAAGGAACAGGTGCTTTAGTTATTCAGGAGTGGGTGTTAAGCAGAGTCAAGTCTGTGCCTTGCTACCCAAGAGAAGAGCTTGCCAACGACTGGGCTGCTCCCAGGACTAATGTTGTATAGGGATTTGACCTGTGAGTCAGGGAGGACGGTGTGTTGAGCTGTTTCTCCTCAGGGAAAGGAAGCTCTGTGTCAGGAAAGTGGCGTGTTGGGGGGAAGATAAGTAACGCTGCTGTCGTTGATGGTGGTTTAACAACCACATGCTTCCGTTTCGAACCAAGGACTCCTGGAGGCTCCGAGAGGGACCTGTGTGCTCCAGGCTTTCCCCTCTGGTCTGTGGGCTGGGTGGGGGCTGAAACTGACAGTGAGCGAGGACCCGGTGTGCGGACTTGGCAGACACGGGTCCCCAGATGTCAGACCTGGAGCTTTAGCCCCATTGGGTGGGTTTCAGGCTCACTTAGATAAGGCTGCCCAGGAAAGCTGTTGAGCATTGCTTTTGAACGGGGTTCAGCACTCCACTCTTGACAGTGCACCAGCCATGGTGGCAGAGTACTAGGTGAAATCCACTCACACCTTCAAGGGTAAAACGCAGCTTCTGAGTGACTCCAGGATGACAAAACACGACCTTTGAGAGTTGTTCTTTTTCAATCCTTAGCTACAGCCTTAGGTTTTACATCCGATTTTAACCTCTTGCACTCCTGCCAACCTCTGCTGAGTGCTGTAAGATCGGCCCTCCTTCAGGCAGGGTGCTCATTGGGGGCCTGGAGTGGGCATTTCATGCAGCCCTTGTTAAGCCTCCTCACAGCCAGGGACCTGCTCAGGTGCTCTCTGTCCTTCCTAAGGAAGCGAGTGTGGGACAGGGCAGGCCGTTGTCCTGTAGTGCACTGTGTTTGTGCCTGTGTCTCGTGTGGTGCACACCGTGTTGGAGCTCTTTTTGCTGGATGACTTAGTGGAACGAGTGTGTACCCGTCAGCTCTGTGGAGGGACTAGCCTGTGTGGGACAGAAGCTGGTTGCTCTGCTCTGGCAGTCCTCAGGACACTTACGGATGCCGCTACGTGGCTTTGCCATTTGTGTGTTCCTTAACAATGTTCCACAGTGACCACTTTAGCTCTCTAAAGATGTATCTGATTGTGTCAGTGGTTCCATGAATTGTGGACCCAGTCCTCTCTGTGTTTGTACCAGTGGCACCAGTGTTGTCTGTGAGCTCAGTCCCTCTTACCTGTGCTGAGAAGAAAAAAGAAAACCAACCCTTGTTCTAGACCTTCCTGTGGAAATGGACCTTTGCCATTCGAACCCTGTGTATAGCAGGGACCAGCGTGGCCATCGTGCAGATTGCCCGTCTGGGTGTCAGGGCTTTTGTGACTTGAAGCCTGTCTGCCACTGCAGAGTGTCTCACTTGTGATGTATGTGGGCACTTCTGCAGGGTGGCTGCTGAGTGAGGTGTCACGCGCTAAATGCTGAACTCAGGGTCCTTTTCACAGGATTCTATGCAAAACCGTCCCATTTTTAAAACACCAGACATCCATGAGCTATCAGCAGTGAAAGTAATGACATTTTGAGCAGTCTTAAAAATTATGTTGCCTTTTTTTCTCAAAATATTTCCTCTCAGGTAAAGGTTGTGACAGGAAAGCATGGGCAGACTGGGACTCCTGTTGCTATAGCAACCCAGCTTCCGCCAAAGGTTTCTGCTGCTTTTTCATCCCAGCAGCAACCACTGCAGGTACTTGTCGATGGTTCTCCAATGTAGTCTCATCCCAAACTTCTCCTTCATCCAGATATTTTAACCTTCAATTCACTATTTGCTCTTCAGCGTTTTTCCCAGAGCCCATTCCTTATTTAAGAAGTATCTTCCCGCATATACAATGATGAAGTTAAATTGCATGAGTGAATGACAGCAGACCCTAATGCATTATTTTTCTCATGTGCCCTTAATGCCGTAGTAGCTTTTAGCATGCATGCCCCCTGCCCCCCCAGCCCTGTCGAATGTGTGCGCAGGACCCCTTGTGTGCTGTGCTTTCCATGTTGTTCCCTTGTGTCTCTTACCTGTGTTTGCGAGAACAGTGCAAAACGCAACAGGACAGACGGATGGAAGCAGGTAGCAGCTCGTGTGTCTGTACCTAGGAGAGGCAGAAGCCAACAGGGTCATAGGCTGTCAGTGAATGCCAGCTGGTGCAGACTGGTGCCTGGTCAACTGTGGAATCATCTCGTGTCACTGAGTAATGCCGAGAATTAAGAGTCAGGTTCCAGTCTGGTTATTTGGGATAGATTTGGGTGACTTCTGAAAGCAGCGTCACTGTGCTGTGACATTTTGTTGTTTCTTATTTTGATACCATCTCAAACCAACATAAAAATTGCAAGAAATAGTACAGAGAGTCCTCCTTTACCCCTTCCTCAGATTAACCACTTGTTAGGTTTTGACCCGTTTGCATTCTTCTTCATTCTCGCTCTCTCCCCCTTCTTCCACGTACGGATGGATGTGTGTGTATACATTAAGTCTCTCCCTAACTCTTTTTTTTTTGTTGTGATTTGGGTGAAAATTTACAGAGCAAATTCATTTTCCATACAGCAGTTCAAATACACTTTGTCTCATGACATTGACTACAGTTTCCCACAGTGCAACGGCTTCCCTCCCACTTCCTCCCGATAGTTACCTTTTCCCTGTGTCCAGCCCTCCATGCACTCCTGCCCTCCGAGCTGTCTCCCTGTGCACACACAGCCCTTCTATTCTCCCATGATTGTTCTCTCCAAGGAGTGTATCTACCTCAGGTAAATGTTCAATTCATATGCCTGCCTTTTGTTTGTCTGGAAGCCACAGGTGTGGGTTCAATTCTAGACCTGAAGGGCAGCTAGGGGCCATAGTCTCAGTGGTTCCACCAGGCTCCATCAGACCAGCCCCCTTCCCCCCCGTCCCCCAAATGATTGTGAGTTTTGTTCCACATTGTTCTCCCTCTCTGTCCAGGGTCTCCTACAGAGATCCCCGCTCCCTCTAACTCTTTGAGAATAAGTGCAGACAGCAGATCACGCCCCTTTGTCCCCACCAACTTCTGCACATATTATGCAGCGCAGCTCTCTGCCGTGGAGTCAGATCTGACTCATAGTGACCCCTCCTTGGGTTTCTGAGGCGGTATCTCTACAGAAGTAGATTGCCCAACCTTTCCTCTGAGGAACAGCTGGTGGGTTTGAACCGCCAGCTTTTTGGTTAGCAGTCAAATGCTTTAGGCACTGCACCACCAGAGCTCCAGGGCTATCTTACCTAACCACAGTCCAGCAGCCAAGCTTAGGGAATTTTACAGGGATACAAGACTCTTGTGGAATATTCCTGCCCACATTATGCCTGTTGTCCCCACGATGTCTTCTGGTCATTGCCCAGCCCAGGACCCTGTGTTCTGTTGTCCTGCCTCGGTAGTCTTCAGTGTGGACCAGTCTCTCAGTCTCTTATGACCTTCATATTTTTGAAGGGCCCAGACTGCTGTTTCATAGAATGTCCTTCAGTATGAGTTTGTCTGTGTCTCCTGTGTTAGATTCATGTATATTTGAGAGGAATGCATGGATGTGAGACGTATCTGTTTCGGCATCGTAGCAGAAGGCCATAGTGTCCACATATCCCCCACCTCATGGTGTTAACTGATCATTTGGTTGAGGTGATGTTCCCCAGGCTTTGCCACCGGAAAGCTGCAGTTTTTAACTTAAGTAAACTATAAGGAATTTGAGGGGAGATATTTTGAGACTGTGTATATATCCTCATTAAACTTTCACCTGTTGATTTTAACATCTACTGCCTAGTCTTGCCTGAATCAGCTATTACCTTAATGTAGTTTCTAACCCCAGTATTCCTTTTGTGTTGATTATTTGGCATTCTAGTGTAACAGCTTTCTCTTTTCCTCCACTTACATATTCATTCCTATGTAGCTTCTGTAGTGCATCACTACCAGTATTATTTTTATTTGATTTTATTTCATTTACATTCAGTAAAATTCACTCCCTTTGGTCCACAGTTCTATGAGTTGTGTCAACTCATCACAGCAGTCCATTGCCCGCCCCCAAAGGCCCCTCACAGTGCCCGTTTGCAATCACACCCTCCCCACCCTTTGTTCTCTACCTCTGATTTTTCCTTTTCCAGAGTGAAATTGTGGTGTGATGGATTGCTTTTCTGTGACCTTCATAGCCATGTCTTGTAACTCTGACCAAAAGATTGGGTGGGATTATACATACAGGGTGCTGCTGGCTCACCAAGGGGCTTGGATAGTTTGCTCATAATGTACGTAAGGTCCACGGCACCCTTGTGGAGGTGGGACCATGAAAATAAGGCGTGTAGAACTCTAATGAGGGGATTGGTCAATTTTGCCATCCTGCTGGGCTTACAGTGAGCCATCCCAGAGGTGAAAAGGAGGGACTTCACTATCACCAAAAAGAAGATACAGGCGTGGAGTGTGCCCTTGGGACCTCAGATCCCTGCTTGGAAACCTCCTAAACCCAAGAGACAGAGCAAGCTGCCACAGGGCAGATGGCAGGAGGCAGTGGCCGCAGAGAGCACAGAGCTAGGAGACTGGGAGGAGGCGGTGCGGTGGGCTTCCTGGCCCACAGAGGGAGAAAGTGTGCTTTTGGACAGGAGCCTTGCTGGTGGAGTGGGGTGCCTCTGGGCACTTATCAGTGGAGCTAAAGAGCTTTGTAACACTTGGCCACACAGTATAGAGGCTGGGCCGATGGCCAGAGAGAGGCGTGCCTGTTGGCACAGCTGAGAAGAAGCTGTCCTGATAGAGGAACCATGGTTCCCAATCCTGAATCGTAACCTGTTACTTCCCTGCCAGACCCCATGATTGTGAATATTGTCTGTGCGTGGCTGTTGTAGTGAATTTTTGAGCCTAGCCGAGATGTAGAGAGGGCCGTGGGAATGATGGCGGGTGTCAGGGTTGGAAGGGGAATTAGGCAGTGGGTAATCTTCCCATTCTGGCTTCTTCCATGCAGCATAGCGTCTTTGAGATTGTCCGTGTTGTGGTGTTTACCAGTGTTTTGTTTCCTTGTATTGCCGAGTGGGACAGTGTTGTAGGAATGTATCCTGGTTTCTTTATCTGTTCGCCTTGTGCAGGATATGCGAGTGAGTGGTTTCCAATTTTTGTTAGTTATGAATAAAGCTGCTGTAAACATTCACATGTGATATTCTGTGTGACCATAGGTGTTCGTTTCACCTGGGCAAATATCAAGGAGTCAGATGCTGGATTGCATGTTAGATTTATATTTAACTTCGTAAGGAGTTTCCCCAAATGGCTGTGCGTTTCACGTGGGCACCAGTGTTGGCTGCGGGTCCAGTTGATCTTAGTCCTTCTCAGTACTTGGAATTGGCAGGTTGTTATTTGAGCTGTTCTAATAGCATGTCATGGTTGGGATTTGCATTTGCCCTGAGACTGGTGGTCGTGGCGTCTTTCCAGGTGCTCATTGCCCTTTGTATCTTTGGTGAAGTATCTGTGGGTGTCTTCTGCCTGTTTTGCAGCAGCTTGTTTTCTTACTGTGTTTGGAGAGCTCTCTGCATGATCTGGATGGGAGTCCTTTGTCAGATAGGCACTTGGCACACGTTTTCTCTGATGAAATCCAGTGTATCAACGTTTGGCTTTTTTTAATGGATTGTGTTGATGTCCTATCTAAGAACTCTGCTTAACCCCACGTCACAAAGCTTTTCTCCTGGAAGTTTGAGAGTTTCTCTTACATGTAGGTTTGTGTTTCATCTTGAGGAAACTTGGTGTAGGTGGGGGGCTGAGCAGAGGCTCATTGTGCTCACGGAGCCCAGTTGTTTCAGCGCCGTTTCTTGACAAGACTGTCCTTTCTTTGTGGACTTGACTTCACATCTTTGTCAAAAATGGAAGGGTCGTGTCTGTGTCACTCCGGACTCTCTTGTCCTCCATTGCTCTGTGTATCTGTCTGTCTGCCAGTGCTCCAGGGTCTTGACTGCTCTAGTTTGAGAATAAGTCTTGGAATCAGGTAGTGTGAGTTCTTTATCTTTGTTCTTCTTTTTCAAAACTGTTTTGACCATCTTAGTTCCTTCTCCCTTTCCGTTCTGAATTTTAGATTCAGCTTGTCAATATCTAGAAGACGTCCCACTGGGATTACATTGAATAAATTGCCCATTTTGGGTAGAGTTTTGGCTTCTTGGCAATGCTGAGTTTTCCAGATTTCTGAGAGTTCTGTTTCCTGTCTGTCTGCCTTTTATTTACTTATTTTTTGCTCTGTTGCCAGGCAGATGCTTTCAGTGTGTTGAGTAGGAGTGGTGGGAGCGACAGCCTTTCTTGTTCCTGGTTGTAGGTGGGGCATTCGTTCTTACCATTATTCCATCCTTACAGTTAAGCATGATGTCAGCTGTGTGCTTGGTAGATGGCTTTTATCAGGTTAAGGATGTTCCTTTCTATTCCTGTTTGAACAGAGTATTTGTTATGAAGGAATGTTGACTTGTCTTGTGCTATTTCTTCATTGACTGAAGCGATGTGATTTTTTTATTTTATCTGTTAGTATGAACTACATTAAACTGAGGTATAATTTAAATGCACGGAGGTGCCCAGAGTGGAAGATTAGTTTGCTGAGCTTTGACAGTTGCGTACACATGTCCCTCACGTGTTCATCCGGCTGAGGTGCTGCGCCCGTGTCCCTCACGTGTTCATCCGGCTGAGGTGCTGTGCCCACGTCCCTCAC